TCACACACCTCCTAACCACAGAGAATGCTCCCCTTGAAGTGAGAACAAATAAGCCTTCAGTTATTTTTGTCAACATAAGGATCACCAGATGAGGTTTCCAGCGTAACATTTAGACTCAAGTGAGCCTGGTAAAAGCAAATATGTCATTTAGACGGAAATCATAATCACTTCTTATTAACTGGACAATAAGTACACTTTCAATAATTGTTTAAGTATAATTAAGCTCCTAACACCATCAACCTCTAAATAAGGCCAATAACATCCACTAAAGTGCCCAAAAGCCTTCCTGTTGTCTCTGTTCTGTGTTATTGGGAACATGCTTGAAGATCAAACAACTAGGTCAGCTATATTTGAGGTAAAAGAGCAGCAGAGTGCTGCATCTAATGCAGCCTTGGAGACATCCACCTGCATCCAATCTGCAGCAGGGACTTAGTTCAGCATGGCTGATTCAGCTTGAGACCTCAAATCAGCCTGATGTTTTAGGATAATTAGATAACAAACTCGTGTTGATATTAGACAAATAGTTGTCTAAATCGCTCTGGCGAGGGCAGCCTGCTACTGAAGCTTATTCATAGAGGATTTAGTAAACATATTACATAAGAAATCTGCACAGCCTGACGTGTGTGTGTGTGTATGCTTACATGTTTAAAAAACTGCTTACTGTACTAACATGCATATTCACGTGTTTCTTTCTGTGCATTTTAATGAATCAAAAGTGCAAAAAAGGAAAAGGAAAATAGTGACATTCCTGTTTTGAATGTTTTAATCGTCTACTTTCAGAAAATGAAATGTAAATCCACTCTGACCCTTCTTAGATTGGATCAGTAACAACTATTTGAGCACGCAGCTAACCTGTCCTGTCCCTGACCCCGTGCCCTGCCCGGAGCCTAAGCAGCATTGTCAGTTTTCCCTAGTGTTAAACTATTTTGTCATAAATGAACAAACACTTCCAAAAACTTTAGAATGCCATTTAAAGAGCATTTCATGTACAAAACCTTTCAAGTAATTGCAATGTAATGTTTTCTTTTTCAAACATGCAACACAAAGACTCTCGGCATATGAATGAAGCTGAAGACCTTTTAAATAAAATGCAAGCTAACTGTTATGTAAATACAAAATTCTAAATTGTTTGAACTCAGATAAAAAAATTTAAAACGGAAAAAAAAATGTGTTCCGGCTTTTCTGATTCATTGAATCATTTGAATGTTTGTTTTGTTTTTGGCTCATGATAGATATTCAGTAGTGAATAACCGCAGGTAAACTGATGCACTGCTGCATTTTTTTTGTTGACAATAATAAATATGGTTGAAGGTTTATCCCTTTTCTCCGCCTCTGGATCAGTTGATCCACGGGTCTGATGGCTGTGCCACACAGAGCGCACGCATGCACACACACACGCACACGCACGAGACAGAAACCTTTCACAGTCGTGTTTTTTACTATCAACCAGCTGGAACGGTTGAGGCAAATTCCTTTAAACTAAATCACAGGAGATGTCCACAAAGTTTGGAAGCCTGTGTTCATCATGTGTTCATAAACAAACAGCAATTAGTTTGCATTAACAAGCTACAAACACAGATAAGACTTTACTGTCATCCAGAATATTTTATTGAGGTTTTTCTGCTCAACATCAGACTCTCTAAACCCAAAGCAGGTCTGACATTACCCCCGTGTTCACCCGCTCAGCCAACATGTTCAACGTTGACAGAAACGTGGATCCGTGCTGCAACCCCGCAATAAATCTGAGTATTTCCAGTAGCACAGACAAGTTTGACACGTTTGCCAAAAGATTTGTGAAATAATAATCATATTTTTATTTTACTTCCACAAAAAGCTTATAATAGATTAGAGATTACAGAAAACAAGGATGGCTTGCCATCAAATTTGAAAGCCGTCCCTCATTAATTAGGCAGCCATTTTTGAAGTCAGGCAGGATGGTACGCTGGCTGCTGTGCTTCCAGCCGAGCAACTTGCAAGTGCATTGGTGGCTATTAGTAGCTTGCAAGCAACGTGTTGGAGACCCCTGATGTATTCTGTCTTGCTGTGATTAATCCTCATCCCTCTCTTTTACATATCTCCACCTTTCTATGTATTCCTACCTGCAGACAGAAACACTGCATTGCAAGCAGGGCAGCTAATCGTCATTAGAGGGCCAACAACCTTTGTTTGAAGTCAGATCCATAACTGCAGTGAGACCATGAAAAGCAGCTGTTTTACAAATCTATTCATCATCAAACACTCCCTGGAGGTCTTTTCTGACGTTTTCGTCTTCATCTGTACCAAGCAGCAAACTTGGTGGTCCAAAAGCCAAAAGAGAGCCAACCAGCAAGTGACAAAAATTGCAGTTCCGCCCTATTCTGCTAGAGGCTGAAAGGAGCAAGTTGACTCCTGTGTTAAAAATACCAACTTCAGAGCATAAATAAACATGTTTACAGACTGGTTCAAAAAATACGTTCTAGATTTAATAGATCTAGTTTCCAGTAATGGCAACTCTGAGGGAGTGAATTGTTGTAACTCTTCTATTTAGGAGTAATTTTATAAATAACTAGATGTGATTGACAAGTTGGATGAGCTATCAGAGCTACAGTTGTGGTCAGAAGTTTACATACACTTGTAAAAAATATAATATAATGGCTCTACTGAGTGTCCCGTTATTTCTAAAACTCTGATTTTTCTCTGATAGAGTGATTGGAACAGATACTTCTTTGTCACAAAAAACATTCATGAAGTTTGGTTCTTTAATGTCTTTATTATGGGTTAACAGAGAAAAGTGATCACATTTGCTGGGTCACAAATATACATACAGCAACATGATCTAGCAATTTTGGTGACTTAGAAACGTGTCAGTGAACTGAGCTTCATACCATGGCCTCTTAACTTCTTGTGAGTGATTATGAGTGACTACAGCGGGTGACTTCTCTTAGGCCAGGTAAATAGGGCTCATTGGATACAAACGCCCACAAACGCTACAATGGGAAAGTCAAAGGAGCTCAGCATGGATCTGAAAAAGCGAATTATTGACTTGAACAAGTCAGGAAAGTCACTTGGGGCCATTTCAAAGCAGCTGCAGGTCCCAAGAGCAACAGTGCAAACAATTGTTTGTAAGTATAAGGTGCATGGTACTGTTTCATCACTGCCAAAATCAGGAAGAAAACGCAAGCTATCACCTGCTGCTGAGAGAAAATTGGTCAGGAGGGTAAAGAGTGAACCAAGAATCACCAAAAAGCAGATCTGCCAAGAATTAGAAGCTGCTGGAACACAGGTGTCATTGTCCACAGTCAAACGTGTTTTGCATCTCCATGGACTGAGAGGCTGCCGTGCAAGAAGGAAGCCCTTGCTCCAAAAGCGGCACCTTAAGGCTCAACTGAAGTTTGCTGCTGATCACATGGACAAAGATAAGACCTTCTGGAGGAAAGTTCTGTGGTCAGACTAAACGAAAATCGAGCTTTTTGGCCACAATGCCCAGCAATATGTTTGGAGGAGAAAAGGTGAGGCCTTTAACCCCAAGAACACCATGCCTACAGTCAAGCATGGTGGTGGGAATATTATGCTGTGGGGCTGTTTTGCTGCCAATGGAACTGGTGCTTTACAGAGAGTAAATGGGATAATGAAGAAGGAGGATTACCTTCACATTCTTCAACATAACCTAAAATTATCAGCACGAAGGTTGGGTCTTGGGCGCAGTTGGGTGTTCCAACAGGACAATGACCCCAAACACACATCAAAAGTGGTAAAGGAATGGCTAAATCAGGCTAGAATGAGGGTTTTAGAATGGCCTTCCCAAAGTCCTAACTTAAACCCCATTGAAAACATGTGGACAGTGCTGAAGAAACAAGTCCATGTCAGAAAGCCATCAAATTTAACTGAACTTCACCAATTCTGTCAAGAGGAGTGGTCAAAGATTCAACCAGAAGCTTGCCAGAAGCTTGTGGATGGCTACCAAAAGCGCCTAATTGAAGTGAAAATGGCTAAGGGACGTGTAACCAAATATTAGCACTGCTGTATGTATATTTGTGACCCAGCAAATGTGATCACTTTTCTCTGTTAACCCATAATAAAGACATTAAAGAACCAAACTTCATGAATGTTTTTTGTGACAAAGAAGTATCTTTTCCAATCACTCTATCAGAGAAAAATCAGTTTTAGAAATAACGGGACACTCAGTAGAGCCATTATATTATATTTTTTACAAGTGTATGTAAACTTCTGACCACAACTGTAGTGCTAGTAAAAGAAAGAAAACGATATTTTATATAATTCCTCTCAAAACAAAAATCATGAAGCGCTTCACAAACAAAAAAACAATAAAGTATAAAAAGATTTCTAACAATTATTACAATATGTTTAAAATGAAGAAAAACATATAAATTGTGATTAAATAAATGATAATGTAAGGAATGGAAGACAGAAAATGAACAGGAAAGAGGGAAATCAGTGGATCATGGGGACAAGTGGAAAAAGTAGAAAGAGCAGAACAAGGAGAAGGTGATGAAGGTCACGCAAAAGCCAGCTTGAACAGGTGAGTTTTCAGCTGCTTTTTAAAGGAGACCACTGAGTACACTGACTAGCTCCGGGGAAGACCTCAGTATCTGCCTCAAATTAATAGTGATCAGTCATTCCTCGAACTTGACCATTAGTTGCTTCCCCAGTGCGTTCATGTTTGGATGTTATTCGTGCAATTGTTGGACAAACATGGCTAGCTGAGCGCTTAATGAAAAGTCACGTGATGATCACAACATCACGCAGGACTTGAGAGCTGGAACCGGGAAATGGCTCTATTGTTTGTACGTGATCAGACTTGCCGTCGCATTTTGTGAGACTCAAATTTATTACAAATGGTTAAGTACGCTATTTATTAGAATATTTTAAGATCAATAGTACTTTAAAGTTATCAAAAATGTGGTTGGGCTTGTGCCGTAAAGCCGTTCCGCGTTGTAATATCTGCTGTAATATACTCCACAGTGTTGTAAACAGCCGCAGCTATCTTAAGTGCTTCGGCGTGGCGCATCTGGGACGGGGCGCTTCCCGTGTGACCACTCTCACTAACTAAAATGGCTTCGATTTAAAATTATGGCGCAGCGCGGCGCGTCTGCCTCCGCTCTGCCCCAGGCTTGAGGATGGCTACACGGGGAGCAAAGCACCACTTCCCAGAAGCACAGCTAACCGGAAGCACCACACCGAGGCGCTAAAGATAAGCGCCAGTTCTATTTCAAGTGCCACGGCTAAGGGGCTAGACCCGTGCCAAAACCTGTGCATGCGGATTCCGCGTGCACGGGTTTTGGCACGGGTCTACACTGTTAGCCTTTACCTATCCACTTTACGGTAATAAACTGGCAACACTGTTGCCAGCATGATACCGTGATGCATGGTTAACGGTAACTCACCACTTAGTGTTGATACCAGAATTATACCATATATTTTATTGCTGTAAAAAACCCTCTGACTGCATGCCGGTGAGATACTGGCAACGCTGATGCCAGTATCTCACCGGCAACAGTGTTGCCAGTAAAATACCGTAATATATTTCACAAGAAAATTACATCAATAACGCAACATTATACCATGATTAATAAATATGTGTTGTGCTGTATGTTTATGGTATGTTACCGTAAGCTCATTTCAAGGTATGCTGCAATACGTTTCCAGTGATTTACCGTAAACATGATCAATATTTTATGGAATATTTTACATTAAATTTCTTACAATTAGAAAGTCATAAACTGGTATCATGTCAGTTTTTTGATAAAATTCTGTAAACATTTATCAGTTTAAATCGCCCACCAGGCAGATGTCAATTACTGTCATTTAGGCAGTAGGACTAATAGATTAGCTTAAATATGATTTTATCAATCTGAGATGATTTTTTTTATTTACAATGTAGGCTTGGGTAAAGCATTCAATCTTTTTTATATTATAATAATAAAAATTTAAACAGATTTTAGTGAGTGTTCACATACTGTATGCTTTTATAATAGCTCAATTAAAACATTTATTCTTGGAGCATTTTCTCTTTACTATGGGGCATAGTGTTATTTCATTGGTGATCTCACAAAGAATTGTTTTGGTAATGCACTCTGAATGAAGATTTGAGCAAGGTATTTTAAAATGTCCACTGAAAAACCACAGACAGAAAAATGTCAGAGGTATACCAAATTTTTATATTTGCTGTACTTTACCTGTTTCCTTTAAAACAGTGACATACCATGAAAAATATGTGATGTTGTTGAATTTACTCACCATTACATGCCAAATACAGTACTACACTGCTAAGATTTTAGCAGTATTTTACTGTTGATTTTACAGTAATATACTAGCAAATGCCAGCAAAGTCTAACAGTGTAGCCCCATACATGGCTGTTAACATTGTGGAGTACTTTACAACAGACATGTGGAACAGCTTTATGGCACAAGCCCAACCACAGTTTTGATAACTTTAAGGTGCTACTGATCTTAAAATATCCTTATAAATAGCACACTTAGCTTAGACATACAGCAAATCTGATCACATAAAAACAAGAGTCATTTTCAGCTTCCTGTTCTCAAGTCCCACGTGATGTTTTGACTATTGTGCGACTTTCCAAGAAACACTCAGCGGCAATAATTTTCAATGTCTGCAAAAGAAATGTTAAATTGAAGGTGTAAAGAAATGTGAAAAATTCCCATTTTAACACTTTGGGATTAATAAAATTCCATAATTATAATTATTTTAATAACTATGATTAGTGGAATATACTAAAATGAACAATGACATTTTGAAATTGTGCCTCTAAGTATTAATAAAGTAAACAAATCTGTATAATGTGCAGGAATATTTATATTGGCACACCATAAAAACACGTAACAATAAACATCAGTACCCTTTCCCTTATTACACTGACGAAGTGCAATCACCCAATCCATCAAGTGATGACAAACAGTGGATAACACTGGGAGACTGCAGACACATTTTTGGAGCTGCTACCCACACGGTTGGGTGAGTTGCTCATTTCACAAAAGCATAATCTTTACAGGTTGTAATTAGTGCCATTGTCATTCAGTTATAAACTGCAGCACCAGCTGGTTTTTTAAAAGGAGAACAAAGCAGTCAAAATCTGATTCACAAACTTATTTTGGCAGACAGAGCTGAATAAAAGCATTTCCTGATTTTAAAAAGCATCACGCATCAAATTCAGCTACATTTTAGGTTTATAATTTTCCAAAAATCAGAGGGATTAGCTTCATTGTGGAAGATGATGCTACGGTGCTGAATGGTTCATGTGCTAAAACAGGCCTTTTCTGCAGGTAGGCTATAAGAGTCCATCAGTCTAGACAAATTGGAGCTCATAATTTTATCTCTATTCATCGACTAGAGGACAGCCGCTGCAGACATCAGATGCTGCACGAGAAGAAAGCTGCAACACTGACTTTTAAAACCTTGTGTAAGTCGTGCATGCACGTGCACACGCATACATGTCTTGCTTGCTTGCTTGCTTTCCTCCTCACTGAGGGGTAAGGTGAGGAATTCCCTGCCGGGTTCAGATAACTGACCGCAGCAGGTCGGCGCATGGCTGAGGAGCGTGTCAGCTCCACGGTGTGCTGTCGCATTACAGTGTGTGTATTTCTGTCATGAGGGAGGGGGGTGATGGAAGTGGGGAATAAAGGATTGGGTTACTAATACACACACACACACACACACACACACACACACACACAACTATGCGCTCTACTGAGCTTTTTTTTTAGTGAAGGAGCTCCTCGCCCCGCTGTGGCATCGAAATGCAGCATCAGGATGAAGGTAAATGACGACATGCTCAATCTCTCCCCTCCTAAACGCAAAACGGAAGCTCTGGGTGAGGGATTAAAGCAACTGCTCGCTCAGGCCTGCAAAAAAAAACAGTGCATTGAGATCCTGCATCATCCAGGCTGCTGGATGAGTTACCGGGAGCGCGCGCACGCACACACTCCAAAATAAAACCCACACAAACGCTCCAGCGTCGCAACTCACCTACCTTAAACCCAACAGCCTATTACATAGCTGCCATTTCACCGAGGCATGATGCTTGATGATTAAAAAGCAACACTTACTTCCCCAGCTCCTCGAACAGCTGATATTCGTCGGTAAAGCGCGTGCAGATCGTTAAGGCCATCCTGAAGCAGGTGCCACGGGGCGCACAGAGAGAGAGGAGCAGAGAGGCGCGGGTAAGGTGCACTCAAGCTAGATCACCTTCACTCAGACGTCAGTACTGCACAGTTTTGTCCAGAACCTGCAGCCCCAAATGGACGGTTTCATGCACAGCCAAAGCGCATCAGCAGGGTCTCCACTGGAACGATTTCTGCGGCAAAGAGACGTGTGTCAGCGTCAGCACGCGAGGTCAGCGCTTTTGGTTGCGGGTTCTTTCGTTTCTTTACATCCAGCGGCTCGTTGCGGTTAGTGGACGCAGCATCCTGTGTGCATTCCTGTCTCCAGAGCGTGTTCGTCCTGCATAAGTGTTGTCAACATGCACGCATCCGACGCCGCACTACACCGCACCTACCCCCAACTGTGCGCTGAGTCCCGCCTATTTCTTCCCTGCATCCTCTACCAGGCCAATAGCAATGAGTAGCCCAACTACAGTAAAATAATACCCACCCTGACCCAGAACCACAGGACCAAACACAACTGTGTTTGAAATGATGAAATACACGTATCCACAGGGATTAGCATCCACCATATCACTAATTTGAAATTATTATTTTTATTCAAAACAATGTTAATGATGCACATTTCAAATTAATTTTGTCATGGATTGTCTGGTGGCATGCGGACGTAATGTTGGGGGGGGAGGAACAGCTCTAGGACCAAGCGGAAAACAACCGTTTGTGTTGAAGCCTGTTTCCCATTAGAACATACTGTAAAGATACCCCCCCCCCCCCCCCACACACACACACACACACACACACACACACACACACACACACTTTTAAACAGAAAATTACGTCCATGTCTGGTGGTCAATAAAACCTCTTGGAGCCACTTTAGTCCATGTGTTATTACTCCAACTGATGGAGGAAAAATAAGATTTAGGTGACTTTGGACATGGTTGTTGGTGCCAGATCGTCCAGATGACAAATATACCCAGTGAACAGTTGGTTGTGTGGATGAAAACACCTTATTGAGGACGTCAGAATAGAATGGGCAGACTACTTTTTATTACTGTATCACAAAAGTAGCTCACTAAAATTAAAGTGTGTGGAATCTTCAAACAAACAACATATTTGAACCTTCAAAATGAAACTAAAATTAAGAATTACAGTAAAGTTATTCATGTTAAGGTGGGAAAGTTATCATTTTATCATGGATTTTGAAAATTCGTGTAAAATGAAAACATGATTGCATCTGACTCTGAAACAAAGCTGAAGTCTTTCATCTTTAGTTTACGAGAACTTATCATTTTCTGATCAACAAGTTTTTTGTTGTCCCTTTTGGTCACATCTATTCATTTGAACGAATAAAACCATGAGTTAAATGAAAAATTTGTGAAACATTTATGTTTATTTATTTGGCAGACGCCTTTATCCAAAGCAACTTACAATTTATAACCTATAGGGCATGGTGTGATCTGTGGGGGAAACCAGAGTACCCGGAGGAAACCCACACATGCATGGGGAGAACACTCCACGCAGAAAGGCTGCAGATGAGTTTCGAACCTGCAACCTTCGTGCTGCGAGGCAACAGTGCTAGCCACTGCGCCACCATGTAGCCCATTTAAACCATTTAAATCATTTAAACCTGATTTAATCTCTGGAAATATCCATCAAAATGTTCTTGAAAATGAATTCAATGGTGCCCAGTTGTTGAAGAATGTTGGTGGCTTTATAAACAACCATAAAAATCAGGTCTAAATTACATGACCCTGTGTCTAAGTCACTGAGTGACATTATATTAGACGCCATTTTTTCTTGTGAGCCCGTGAGGACAAAACACATTTACTGATTTGTGACAAATGGTTATGGATACTATAAGCACGACAGCATGACAGCT